GCAGGAGCAGCAGTAGTAGCAGTAGCCGTGGGGACCTCCACCGCCGTGGTGGCCTGGCGTCTTTGGTGGTGGTGGTCGAAGTGGCAGTGCGCGCAGCTCGGCGTCGGGTGGCAGCTCCAGTGCGGTGACCTGCCAGTACCAGCTCCAGACCGGCCCCTGTTGCGGCACCATGTGCGACCGTGCCGATCACACCACGGCTCGTTGCTACCGTCGTCTCGACGACCTCTTCCGTCTCTGCTTCAGCCCTGCGCTAGACCTTTGGACTCGCACAGCCAGGTACGTCGCCATGTGCCGGTCTTTGAGATGGATATGGATCAGATTATGTCTGCTTTGTATGCCATGTATGCTGATGACTCCAGTGCCACTAGACCCTATTACCCTGTGTTGCCTAGTATAGGTGTGTCCACCGTGCGTAGTCTAGACTCCCCTGCTGCGTTGGCGTAGGATCTCCTGCTTTGTTTGTCCTAGGCTCCACGCTAGTGCCCCTGCTGGCTGACACTACCACCGCACTCTCCTTCACCCTTAACTCTGGTGCGTCTGCCTGCTTCTTTTGCGACCGCACTACGTTCACCCCGCTTGCCACCCCTGCCGCTGTAGCGCTTGCTGACCCCTCCTCAAGTTCGGTAGTTGCTTGTAGCTCCACCACCCTTCCCTGTCCTGCAGTTCCCTCAGGCTCCCTTACCGGCTTGCACATCCCCTCGTTCTCCAGGAACCTAGTTGGTGTCGGCTGTCTTCAAGACCTCGGCGTCACCTCTACGTTCTGTGGCCACGAGCGGTACGCAGTCTGTACTGATGCCGCCACTGGTGCCCCCCTCACCACATTCCCCTGGGACCCGGAGTCTGGCCTGTTCACGCTAGACACCGCATCCCTCCCGATGGGGGCATCCCTTCAGGTGGCTGCGTCTCCCCAGTCACCGCGGCTTGCTCGTGTCGGTCGCTCACTCACCCGTCGCTTCTGTGGCATCACCGCCTAGGTCACCTCGCTCTCCCGTGTTTGCGTCACATGTCCCAGCACGGTCTTGTCTTAGGTCTCCCTGCGTCATTCCTTGCCCTCCCTCCCTCGCCCGCGCCTCCGTGCACGCCCTGCGTCAAGGGTCGGCTGCGCCGTTCTCCTCACTCCTCCTAGTTTCCCCCCGCCACTGCGCCACTCCAGACCCTGCACTTGGATGTTTGGGGCCCAGCCCTCGTCCTCGGGCCGCGTCGCGAGCGCTACTTTCTGGTGCTCGTCGATAACTACACGTGCTACACCACGGTATTTCCCCTGGAACGGAAGTCCGACGTGCCTGACTTTCTTATCCCGGGGGTCCTAGCTGTGCGATTCCATCGTGGCCTCCCCGTGCTTTGTCTCCACTCTGGCTGTGGTGGCGAGTTTGCCTCCGGTCGGCTTGGTCAGTTCTGTCGTGCGGAGGGCATCACCCAATCATACACCCTGCCGGACTCCCCGCAGCAGAATGGGGTCGCTGAGCGACGCATCGGTTCGGTCATGGAGGTGGCTCGTACCTCCATGCTCAATGCCAGTGCACCCAATTTCTGTGGCCGCACTCCCTGCGGTTTCGCCGACCCTCCTCTGGACCGGGTCCCCTGGTGACGCGTCCGCATTCCATGTATGGGGCTGCCTCGCTCACGTTCGTGCCTATGGCACGGACAAGCTCACTACCCGCATCGTCCCTTCTGTCTTCCTTCGCTTCCTCCTAGACGCGTCTGACTGGCACTTTCATCACCCGCCATTTCACCGCTTCTTCCACTCTCGTGACGTCACTACGAGTCTGTCTCCTTCTACACCTGCTTTCCCTACCGAGGTCTCTCGGTACCCAGCCCCTATTCCTGGTACCCACTCCCCCGGTAGCCCTCGCTCCTCTCCCTCCCCGGCCTGCCCCGCCTGGTGTGTCTCACTTCACTCCCCTTCCGTCGGTTGTCCCGGTGGAGGAGTCGGATGACTCTGGGGGCCCTGTGGCTTAGGTTTCGCCGCCTATCTCCACCCCCATGTCTCCTCCTCTGGCGTCGCAGCAGCACGGGTCGACGCCGCAGCAGCAGGCGACGTCACCGCAGCAGCAGTAGCTGCTGCTGCCACAGGGGTCCGCGAGCTCTGGGGGTGTGGGCGCTGGGGAGGGTGCTCGTGCTTGGGGTGCTGGTTCTAGGGGTGCTAGTCCGGGGGGTACTGTCGTGGCTTGTCCCGGCAGTCCTGGGGGAGGCACCAGTACTGGAAAGGGTTCTCGTTCTTGGGGTGCTATTGTGGAGCATCCCGGAGGTAGCTGTGGTGCGGCCGGAGGCTCTGGTGTCGGCGTGGAGCAGCAGTAGCAGTCGCCGCCGGTTTCTGCCCTTCGCCTCCCCGGACTTCCCTCCCACAACCACCCACCTGCGCCTCCCTAGCTGCCGCCTCCCCCGCCTGTCTACGGCCCTGTCTTTCCTCCGCTGGACACATCCTCGGCCCGTTTTACCCCTCGTTCCCCTCCTATGTCTCCTCCTGTGTCTCCTAACCCGACGCATCCTTCCCACTTCTGGTCTCGCCGTCCCTCTCGTGCTCGTCCTGTCTTCTTGGTTCAGCATTCTCACCCTATGTTGCTCTGTTTTCATGTGTCTCGTGCTCCTCTTCTTCCGTTGCCTCCTCAGTCATCGCTTGTTGTATCTCCGCCACCTCTCTCTGACTTTCTTCGTGCGGCTAGTCCTCTTGTTCCTCAGGTCCTCTCCTCTCTTGTTATCGACCCGTTTGTTCCTGTCTCGAGTCTTGACGCTCTTGTCGCAGCTATCACTGACTTTGCCTCTACCCTCCGCCTTGACCACGCTACAGCTTTGGTCCCCTGCCCGTCTTCCGTTTGTCGGGGGTGCAACTGCCCTTGGTAGTGACGTCATAGAGGATAGGCAGTACGATCTAGCTTTTCTGTCCGAGGCCGCGCCTCATCTCTGCTCCATGCTGCTAGTGCATGAGGGTGACCCAGACGCCCTTGACATCCTGACTCATCGCACTTACGCTGAGGTTACCTCGCGTCCCTGGGCTTCTCAGTGGATAGCGGCCATGGACGCAGAGATGGCATCTTGGAGATCCACTGGCACGTACGTCGACGCAGTTCCGCCACATGGGGTGAACGTAGTCGATGGCCGGTGGCTCTCCAATGTGAAGCGCCCTCTTTGAGAGTCGCCAGTGTTCAAAGCGCACTACGTTGCTAGAGGCTTCAGTCAACGCAAGGGTGTTGACTTCTTTCAAACCTTCGCCACCACCCCAAATGTGACCACTCTTCAGCCACTGCTTCACGTAGCAGCACAGCGCGACTACGAGCTGCACTCTCTTGACTTCTCCACAGTGTTTCTCTGGGGTAGTCTGCACAAGCAAGTCGACCTACGCCCACCACCGGACTTCTCTGGCTCTTTCTCTCCTCCAGCATCTGGTTTACAGCCTGTGTCAGGCTCCTCGTGAGTGGCACGACTTGCTGGGTCCTATGTTAGCTGACCTGCAGCTCTTTCCGTCCTCTGCAGACCTTTCGCTTCGTTCGTTCGGGCCAGACCCCACTCTACATCCTTATCTACGTAGACGAGCTCGTCTTCACTTTTGCAGGCAGCGACGCACCAGCCTCCGTGAAGGCCGAGCTGCTGAGGAGACACATATGCTGCTACCTTGGCATGCAGATCACCAAGGACAGAGCAGCGCGCACCATCACTCTCACACATTCACACTTGGTGCGCCAGGTCCTTCAGAGGTTTGGTCTTGAGTTCTCCTCCCCACAGTCCACACCTCTGCCAGTAGATCACAGGCTCTCGACTCCAGTCCCTGACGAGTCCGTAGTAGTGGTCCATACGCACGGCTGGTGGGTTGCCTCATGTACCTGATGACTTGCAGTCGTCCAGATCCCGCATACCTTCTCAGCATCCTGGCTCGCTTTGTGGCCACAGGCAGACACCGACCGCAGCACTGGTTGGCCGCTAAGAGGGTTTTGCGTTATCTAGCAAGCTCATTGGGCATGGGGCTAGTTCTGGGAGGATGCAGGCCAGTGGCCCTTACAGGGCACATAGACGCTTCGTGGGTAGACGATGCTGAGACGCTTAGGTCCTCCCATGGCTACTGCTTTAGCCTTAGTGCAGGCTTTATCTCTTGGAGGTCCAGTTGCTTGTCGTCTATTGCCCAGTCTAGCTGTAAGGCTAAGATCTACGCCAGTGCCATGGCAACACAGGAGCTCTGCTCACTGACCTTCTTGCTCACAGACTTAGGTGAGCGGCCTAGCTCTGCCCCAGTCATGTATGCTGACAACAGGGCCATGATCCTCCTATGTCAGGAGCCTCGTCCTGGAGGGTAGAGCGAAGCACATCAAGCTGCGGTACTTCCTCCTTCGCGAGCTACAACAGCGCTGCCAGGCCCGCGTAGTACACTTGGCCTCCGGTGCAACCATAGCTGATATCTTTACTAAGGCCTTTGTGCCTAATGATTATCAGCAGCATTGTGTATAGCTTGGTTTTGTTCTAGTAGCTCCTCACTTGCTAGGACCCTGATTGTGTACTCCTTATATTATCTGGATTGGCCTTGTGGCTCTTGTTCCAGTGGCTGGACTAGTAGTGCCGCCCTGGGTTACTCTTGTTTAGACCATACTCTTGCTGACTGGTCTTTAGACCCTTGCCGTGTCTCTCGCTAGGCACTACCCCTTGTCTAGCCTCGGGGGTGTGTCAACATATGCATATCTTGCATATGTAGAAGTTATAGGCTAGTAGGGTTCGTGCTCTTAGAGAGTAAAATACCCAACCATATATTGCCCTGTATCCCCTCATTCTAGTAATTGCGTTGTTCTCAGGCTGTACTCAGCTTGGTCTAGCCTCAGTAGCAGCTCCGCTCCTTGTAACTTGATCTATACTATACCTGCGTGTACCTGCTGTGCTATACCTGCATGTCTTGCTACACTTGCTGACTGGCCTTGTGGCCTGTAGTCTTAGTGGTGAGATATGTCGTGATGCCCTGGTGTGTTTAACTCTGCCTCTACCTAGGCTATGGGGTGTGTCAACAAACAGATGTTTATATCTATCTTGGTAAGATATGTTTGTTATAACCTAGGCAGGTCAGTTCTAAGGGAGTACAACACCTCGTACTTATATCTCTCTCTCTCTCTCTCTCTCTCTCTCTCTCTCTCTCTCTCTCTCTCTCTCTCTCTCTCTCTCTCTCTCACTCTCTCACTCTCTCTCTCTCTCTCTCTCTCTCTCTCTCTCTCTCTCTCTCTCTCTCTCTCTCTCTCTCTCTCTCTCTCTCTCTCTCTCTCTCTCCCTCTCTCCTTCCCTAGTGCAATTTGTTATGCTACTCTAATACATTGTATCATCCTTATCTCATATATTGTCTTTATGGTACGAGAATCACTAAGTCTTATGTTGATTTATCTGTCGTGCATCGAGCAGAATCCTGGTCTTTGGGTATCATACAATTCATTCAGGTTTGCAGGAGGTTCCATTACAGGCACATATGCGCTGATATCCGGTTGGTAATACAGGGTGAGATTATAGAAATGTATGAATATATTCTTGATACCAAAAGCCATCGTGGCTCATACACTATTAAAACCACAGGCTAAAATAGCAAAGGGGGGCTTCAAGCGAGCCCCTCTTGAAGGGGGGGCACTTCAGAAAAAAAAAGGGGGTCCCTGTGCGAATTAGCCTAGGCAGTTTTGGGGCAGCTGGGCAGATACGTACCCTCACATTCGCGCACCTACGGGTGGTTGGGTTGGGCGAAACATCGTAAGGGAACGTGTACGACCAATGCCCCAAAACCATGCGCGACAGACCCGATTTCCCGCCCAAATGACGAGACGGAAGTGAAGCCGAAACAGGGGCGTGATTACGTCGGGAAGTGCAGCGTAACTCAGATCACGAAAACGGAGGAACCCGAGCATGTGACGAAACGGAGAATACAAAGGTGCTGAGACTGGAGGTTGGTTCACAAATTGTGAACATGCTCCGTCCTTGACTTCGACGTGGCCTCAAATTGCACACTTTGAAACATGCATATGACACAACGTAACAGATAACACGATGCAAAACCATGTTACAAATCCAACATATCTTCAGACATGTTCTCAATCACATGCTTGAAAATACAATAGATTTAGTACACTGCAGGAGAAAGGTCCATCACATATTACAATAAAGAATGGGTGTAAATAAGTCTCCCGAGTATCTAACCGGCCAAAACACAAACTTGGCTACAAATGCCATTTTTTTAGCAACTGGCAATGTGAACAAAAGAATCTGCTGTTCAATGGAAGAGCACCTGAGCAAGGGGTTGAGCGATAGGATTGAGAGGGGAAATTGGTTGGGAGAGGGGGAGAAGGGATGAGGGTATGGTAGAGGGGATGTGAGCGAAGTAGGGATGTGAAAGGGGTGGAGGATGGGGAGAATGCTTGACATGATGGGAGTTGGGGGAGGATAAGGGAGAGGGGGCAGCGTTTGGAGAGGGGTTCATACAGCTATTGCATGGCAAGCACAACTATTGGTCTGGGAGGTGGGGCTGAGGGGCCTTAGTGAGGGGTAAGCAGACGGATAGGACGTGCCATGAGGGCACCAAAGGGCATGTGTGGGCGGGGGAAGCAAGGGCACAACAAGGGGACCGGCTGTATGAGTGAGGCAGGCAGGCGTGGGTTCAACTGCGGGAAAGGGAGCACGGGCGCATGGGAGGGGGAACCTGAGGGCACCCTAGGGGAGACGGAGAGCATGGGAGGGGGAAAGGGGGAACCAGTGAGCACAGCACGGGGAAAGGGGAGAACAGAGAGCATGGGAGGGGGTAAGGGGGAAACGGAGAGCATGGGATGGGGAACCGGGGAACCGGAGAGCATGGGATGGTGAACGGGGGAACCGGAGAGCATGGGATGGGGAACGGGGGAACTGGTGAGCATGGGATGGGGAACGGGGGAACCGGTGAGCACGACACAGGGAAAGGGGAGAACAGAGAGCATGGGAGGGGAAAAAGGGGAAACGGAGAGCATGGGAGGGGGAAAGGGGGGAACAAAGAGCATGGGAGGGGGAAAGGGGGAAACGGAAAGCATGGGAGGGGGGATCTCCACATTGCTACCTCCGAGACCCCCTTTACCCATCCTCAACCCTTTACATCCTCTCCCTCCCCCTCATCCCGACGCCTTCCCTATCTACTTGCCATTTCAGCTCTCATTTATCTAACCAGTTCTACCCGTCTCTGCCCCCTATCTCCTTCCCCTCCCCATTTCTCCGCCCCTTATATTTCCCCCAGTCCTCCCTTTCTCCAACCATTCCTACCCGCTCCCGCCCCCTATCTCCCTGCCTTCCCCATTTCCTTGCCCCCTATCCCCCTCATTCCGCTCGCTCTCGCCCTCATTCCGCTCGCTCTCCCGCTCACTCCGCTTGCTCTCGCCGTCATTCCGCTCGTTTTCCCCCTCATTCCGCTCACTCTCCCCCTCATTCCACTCGCTCTCGCCGTCATTCCGCTCGCTCTCCCCTTCATTCCGCTCGCTCCCCCCCTCATTCCGCTCGCTCTCCCCCTCACTTCGCTCACTCTCCCCCTCATTCCGCTTGCCTCATTCCTCTGACCGCGCTCCCATTCCCCCCATTACGTCCACCCATGTTTTCCATTCCGCATGCATTTTCCCCCCATTCTACTTACCTCTTACCCGCATCCCTCCCTACCTTTTCCCCATACTTTCCCCCCTTTTCCCCCATCGCCTGACTGCACCAAGGTTGATAGGGGACTCGCTATGCTTCCCGAAAAGCAGCGAAACAGCCGCGCGATCTCGCCGACAAGTAGCTGGCCGTCTCGCAAACACCCGTAGCACACCGCCCAATGTTTTCGGCAAGCTGCGGTGGATGATTATCTATGGTAAGCTTGCCTGCATCTTTTCCACCACTTCCTGCCATCGCCACTGCACAATACAGTGTTTTCTGTCGAAACTAAAGGGTCCTTCACATGCGGGGAGCTGCTCTTTCTCGTCTGCGCGCCAGATTAATTTTTTAGACTGGGGAAAGGGCTGGGGAGCTGCGCTAAGCTAGCATAGGTGACAGGTCTCCTATGTCTGAAAAGCAATACAACACCTGGGGCTCACTTGAAACTCTGCCCTGACGACGAGTATTCGCTGTTAAAGTGAGGAAAAGTTAACTAGAACAGGACATACAGGGGTATATAGCCTAATGGGTTGTACTCCCTAAGGCACAACCCTATATAGGCTACTATAATATACAATATATGTTTGTATGTTTGACACACCCCCTAGACTGGATAGGGGCAGTGCTTGATGAAAGAGACACAGCTCAAGGTGGCACTACTAGTCCGGCCACTGGGAAGAGGCCACAAGGCCAGTCTGGGACATATATGTAAAAGTCTATACACAATCAAGGTCCTAGCAAATGAGAGGCTACAGGAACGAGACCTATCTGTACACAGTGCCGCTAATGATCTTTAGGCATAAGCGCCTTAGTAAAGATATCAACTGTATTGGCACCGGAGGCAAAGTGTACTACACGAGCATGGCGACACTGCTACAGCTCGCGCAGGAGGAAGTACCACAGCTAGATGTGCTTCGCTCTGCCCTCAAGTCGTGGCTCTTCACACAAGAGGATCATGGCCCTGTTGTCAGCGTACAGAACCGGGGCAGAGCTAGGCCGCTCACCCAAGTCGGTGAGCAAGAAGGTCAGTCAGCGGAGCTCCTGTGCCGCCATGGCACCTGCGTAAATCTCAGCCTCACAGCTAGACTGGGCAACAGACGAGGAGCGGGTGGACCTCTACGAGATGGCACCTGCACCAAGGCAAAAACAGTAGCCCTGTGAGGTCCTGAGAGTCTCGGCGTCATCTACCCAAGAAGCGTCTGTGTGCCCGGTAAGGACCACTGGTCTCCGTCCTCCTAGCACTAGCCCAATGCCCGATGTACTTGCTAGATAACGCAAAACCCTCTTAGCGGTCAACCAGTGCTGTGGCCGGTGTCTGCCTGGGGCCACAAAGCGAGCGAGAATGCTGAGAGGGTATGCGAGATCTGGAAGAGGTAACCCACCAGCTCTGCGTTGGGACCATTAGGCTCTACAGCCTCCTTAGGGACTGGGGCAGAGAGTCTGTGGTCTACTGGCAGAGGGGTGGGCTGTGCGGAAGAGAAGTGAAGGCCGAACCTCGGAAGGACCTGGCGCACAAAGTGTGACTGTGAGTGAGTGATGGTGCGCGCGGCTCTGTCCCTGGAGATATGCAAGCCAAGATAGCGGCGCAGCTCTCCTAGGTCAGTGCAGGTGTGTCTGCTCAGCAGCTCGGCCTTCATGGCGGCCAGTGCGTCTCTGTCTGCAGTAGCAAAGACCAGATCGTCTACGTAGACAAGAATGTAGAATGGAGTCTGGCCGTAACGGACAAAGAGTGAGGGGTCTGCGGACGACGGTAAGAACTCCAGGTCAGCAAGTGTAGCACGCAGCGTATCATGCCACTCACGGGGCGCCTCTCGCAAGCCGTAGACTGGGCGCCGGAGGAGCCATTCGGTGCCAGGGGGAAAGGTACCGGAGAAGCCCTAGGGGCGGTGCAAGTAGACCTGCTCGTGTAGACTGCCCTGGAGGAACGCTGTGGAGAAGTCGATGGAGTGCAGCTCGTAGTCACGCTGTGCTGCTACGTGTCGCAGCGCCCGAAGAGTGGTCATCTTCGGGGTCGGGGCGAAGGTCTGAAAGAAGTCCACCCCCTCACGCTGACTGAAGCGTCTAGCCACGTAGCGCGCCTTGAAGACAGGCGGCTCTCCAGGAGGGCGCTTCACCTTGAAGAGCCACCGGCCATCGACTATGTTCACCTCAGGAGGGGGAACTGTGTCGACGAAGGTACCGGTGGATCTCCAATATGCCATCTCCTGCTCCATGGCAGCTATCCACTGAGAGGCCCAGGGTCCCGAGGTGGCCTCAGCATAGGTGCGAGGCGTCAGGATGTCGATGGCGTCTGGGTCACCCTCAGGGACTAGTAGCATGGAACAGAGATGGGGAGCGGCCTCACACAGGAAAGCGAGCTCGAACTGCCTGTCCTCTAGGGCGTCATTGCTAAGAGCAGCCACACCCCCAATGGTCGGAGGGCAGGCAGGGTCAGAGACCAGAGCGGTGGCGTAGTCGAGGCGGCGGGTAACGGCGAAGTCAGTGACTGCAGCGACAAGAGCCGACAGACTCGAGACAGGAACGGACGGGGTCGGTAACGAGAGAGGCAAGGACACGACGAACAAGGGGACGCGGAGGAAGTCCGAGAACGGAGGCGGGGCCACAGCAAGCAATGACGGAGGAGGAGACGGGAGGAGAGGAGGAGCGCGAGACGCGTGAGAGCGAAGCAACATAGCGTGAGAACACGGAACAGGGGAGGTAGGACGAGCACGAGACGGACGACGAGACCAGACGTGAGACGGAGGAGTTGGGTCAGGAGAGAGGGGAGGAGACATAGGAGGAGAACGGGGAGGGAAACGAGCCGGAGAGGAGTCCGGGGGAGGAAACACGGGGCCGTGGACAGGCAGAGGAGGAGGCGGGGAAGGCAGCGACGGGCGGTCAGTGGAAGGGAGTCCGAGGAGGCGAAGAGCGGACACTGACAGCGACAGCTGCGACTGCTGCCCGACTCCAACACCAGAACCTCCAGCGACAGCACGGCTCCCTCCGAGAAGCCCCACTCCAGCACCCCAAGAGCTCGCACCAGAACCAGCTCCAGCCTGCTCCCAGGCACCCCCAGAACGCATAAACCCTAGCGGCGGTGACGACGGCGTCTGCGGCTGCGGCGGAGGCGGCTGCGGCGGGGACAGGAGCGGCGGCGACAGGGGAGGCGAGTCCGGGGCAGGGACAGGCGGGGGAAGAGACTCCGCCGAGCCGCGAGAGTCAGCAGACTCCTCAGCAGGGACAACCGACGGGAGGGGGGTGACGTGAGACACACCAGACAGGCCAGGGCGGGGAGGGAACTACCTACTCATAATACTATGTTAAAGTGAGAAAAAGTTAACTAGAACAGGACATACAGGGGTATGTAGCCTAGTGGGTTGTACTCCCTAAGGCACAACCCTATATAGTCTACTGTAACATACAATATATGTTTGTATGTTTGACATTCGCATGGACTTTGTTTTGGTTGAGCCTTGCGACCCTAGAGATTGTCGCATCGCGTTTGCCAAGGGAGTTACGACTGCATTGTTCCGCTAGCCAATGGTTTGCGCACTGCAAACCTGCAACATTTGTTTTTTCACGGCGGGGTAGGTGTTCCACTGCATATCGGTGTCATTTCTCTGACCCCCAAAAGGCTCAAATTTCAAGTGTGCCCCCCCCTTCGCCATTCTAGCCTATGGTTTTAAACAGACATGTTAAATACTGTTGGAAATATCTCAAGGACTTAAGCGTTTCTGAAGTGTAACACTGTACTCGAGGAAGATTACAGGGGAGCACGCGAGTCAACGGAGGTTACACGAGGGGGCGGACAAAGAATGCGAAAGGACTCGAAAGGTCGCAACTGGAGGTTGCGACTGACCGTTACAACATCACGGATGGTAACCGAAGCGGCAATCGAGTCGCTGTGCGACTCGATAAACCGTTCCTGTAACTGTATTCTACAACTGCTTCCTTATCTTCTATATATTGCTGTATGCTTGTTTCTTTAATCAATCACTTGTTCTCACATACTAGTACAAGGGTTCAACTGCCTCAACTTCCGCTGCACTACTCCAAGTCTCAAGTCTCTACAGCTGGGACTTAGTCTCTGCAAAAGATCCTAAGGGCTTTTCTCAGCCCAACATGGTATGAGAGCTGGTCAGAGATCAAAACTCCCAGCAACTACACTCCATCAACAACCAGCAACTCAACTTGATTCAACAACTCCATTGATTACAAGACATGGACAACAAGGGCAAGAAAGTCTCTACGGGCTCACCCAGCGCCCAAGAAACTCAACACGGCAACTCTGGTCTGCACACCTCAGGACTGCAGACAGAGACCGGGACTACTCAAGAAACAACGGGAAGAGTACCAGAGATGGTGACTCCGTCTCCCTCTTCAAGTGTGGACCCGAATCTCATGGAGAGATTCTTCAGCTTCATGTCACACTTCGACCAGCAGCAGCAGACAAGGACACCTGCGCACTCAACACAGAGCAATGGAGGGAATATGGGATTAGCGCCGATGAGCCTCGACAACTCATCCTTCGGGCGACACAACCAAGCGCCTACCTTTGCGCCTTATCATTCTTCGCCGGGGACGTTCGAATTCATGCCGCCCCGTGCCCAGCCAACAGCAGCTGCTTCACAACAAACACCGAATGAAATCTTAAGTTTACAGGCGCAGTTCTCACACGTGATCAAACTTCAGACATCCTCACCGTTCAACGGACACGACTTCTTTACCTGGAGCTTCGAGTTTGAGCTGCTGATGGAGGCCGCGCATCTTCTGGGATACTTCAACGGGTCCCTGCCATTCCCAAGCAACGGCACTGGGAAGGAACAAGAGATCTTCACGTATCAGTCGCTGCTGGCGTACACGGTACTCCTGAGAAACCTGTCACCACAAGAGCAGCAGAGCATCAGAACGTATCGGAGTTATGGAAACTCCGCGGAGCTCGCATGGCACCACCTCAAATGCCTTTACCAAGCAAACGACAGCGTGACACAAAGCAGACTCATGCAACAGCTGACAACAATACAGATGAAGACCGGGGAAAAGGCGATGCAGTATATGAGTCGCTGCCAGACCCTCCGCGACCGCCTGCTTCGGTGCGGAGGAACGATCACTGAAGAAAGCTTCGTGACACTTGTCCTCGCCGGGCTCGGGCCAGAATGGAGAACCACACGATCACTTCTTCGAGCCCACGGAAGAATTTCGGAGATGCACCTCTGCGCCGAGCTTCACGCTGAACAACAGGAGATGGATCTGTTCGAGGAAAGACAACCAAGGAAGCAACAGCAGTTAGTCTTCTACACTCAAAGAAGAAATGACAACAACTACAACCGACGCAGCAAGCAAGATCAACGCGACAACCGAGGACTCACCATCGTGCCGCCGTTCTGCCACAACTGTCAGACTTCCGGGCACTCCAAGGTCAACTGCAACCGCCCTCGCGTTTACCGTGCAGCAGACCCACAAGTCGCTTCCACTCAAGCAAGTCCTCCAAGGCGTTCTTCAACATCTGCACAACAAACACCCAACATCATCAACTGCATGGTACACATCGACAACTGCGCACCCGCTTCACCACCCACTTACGCACCAGACGAAGAGGAATTCCCGCCGCCGCGCTCGCAAGGACTTCAGGTCAACCCGACATACGCTGCAGTCGCTAACGCCGAACCCACCGGGCGGAACACCTGGTTCTTGGACAGTTGCTGCGGTCAGCACATGTGCTCCTCCGGACGCTTCGTACAACACGAGCGACGCCTCAACCGCGACGTCGTCATCACCGTCGCCAACAACGAAAACCTGAAAACAAACAGGCAAGGCGTGGTTCAGTTACAATCAATGGAGACAAACGTTATTCTTCAGCTCAACAAAGTCCTCATCGTCGACAATCTGGGATACAACCTACTAAGCGTAAGCCAACTAATGGCTAAGGGGATTCACCTGGAGTGCGACTCCTTCTCCAACGAGTTCCGACTTTACCACGGGAAGGGCGGTCTCTTCATCGGTCGTGCCCTCCTGAAGTCCGGTGTCTTCGTGTTGGACTTCGTCCCCGACCGCGGAACTGCCGACAGCGATGGCATCGTATCGTTCGCCGCCTGGACTCACCCACCAGATCTTGATCCCGACTTCGACAGTGACGGCTTCTGGCACTCCAACACCATACCTGCAGCAGAGAGAACACGGGCATTAGCAGTTATCAGACAAGAAAGACAAGTACCAGCAAGCGTCCCAACAAAACCATCACCTGCAGTATCGGCAGCAGGACCCAGCCGAGTACCACCACCATCAACACGAGGACCGCCAACGGAAGCAGACCAACTTATGCCCGCCACACGAGAAGCTTGTCGAAGTCCCGCCTCGGTCGTCGCGTTCTTCTCCAACGCCGACATCTACCACCGCTCGCCCGGTCACCGCGCTCCCGACGACATCTGGCACCAACGTCTCGGACATCCTGCAAACAGCACGATACTACAAACAATACAAGCAGAGGTGTTAGAACGTAACGCCCTTCTAACGACGAGCGGCCAAGAACTTCGCCGACCAAGAGCACGATGCTTCACGTGCCCCGAAGCAGATCTTCCTCATCAACCTTTCCCAGCCCATCACAATCCAAGCGCACCCACTTACGCTCCGATGGAAAAGGTCTACAGCGATATTCTAAACATGCCTCGAGACGACACCGAAGCCGACTTCAACTACGTCATCACGTTCATCGACGCCGCAACCAGATACGTCTGGCACTTCAATCTCAAAACGCGCGATCAAGCCTTCGAGGCCTTCACCACATGGCTTCCAATCGCCGAACGAGAGTCAGGAACCAAACTCAAGAGTTTCCAGTCAGACGGTGCACTGGAATACCAGTCACAACGCTTCAGGACCTATCTCGCGGAAAGGGGAATCCGACGCCTGGTGTCTCTGCCCTATGCTCACCAGCAGCAGGGGGTAGCAGAACGCATGAACCGGACCTTGCAGACGACGATGCGAAAACTGCTTCTGGGGATGAGGCTGCCCAATACACTGTGGCCAGACGCGATGACACATGCAGTCCACCTGCACAACCTGTTGTCCTCGTCATCGCTCCCCAACAACGCATCACCGCACCTGCTGTGGACGGGAAAAAGGGGCAGCACAAAATTACTTCGAGTTTTCGGCTGCATGGTACAATACAGACCCCACACAGCTCGAGCAGGACGCTTCACTCAACGAGCTCGGTGGGGACTACACCTCGGCATCGCCAAACATTTTCACGCGTGGAAGATTCTCGACATACACGACAAAAATACGGTGGCATCACGTGATGTTATCTTCTACGAGCGACTGACGCTGCAGCATTACCTGGACAACATTGCCAACTCAGACGACCCCACCGACGGCTTCGCGGGCCTTCGCTCCTTCGCTGACCATGCTGCCGAGGCTGACGCAGCAGAAGAAGACGTCCCTGGAGCCTCGGAGGCTGCCGGACCACTCCCCTACTGCTCCGTACCTGTTCCACTCGATGAAGATAATCCTCTCGATAGCAACAACCTCGACACCTTTTACCACTTCGCTGACCAAGGCTACGCTACACCACACCCCGTCGACTCGAATATTTCCGAACGCATCGGGCCAAACTTCTTACCCGATCCTGAAGACGGTGATGAAGCAGCTTATCCCGAGAATGAAAACTCCCCTCGACACACAGCCACGGGACTGCAGATCCTAGGACTATGGGTCTCCGTCCAGCACCCGCCGCCGCCTTCTCCGCGCGAGCCGTCGACCCTGTCGCAGGCTCTGGGGGGGGAACATAAGGCACAATGGAAGGAAGCGATGGAAAAAGAGTTAAAAGCTCTGCAAGACCGAGAAACATGGAAACTGGTACCTGCAACGAGCATCAACGGGAAGAACATTCTCTCGGGGAAATGGGTGTACCGCATCAAGACCAACTCAGACGGCTCCATCGAACGATTCAAAGCTCGATGGGTCGTACGAGGCTTCGATCAACGATACGGAACCGACTACACAGAAACCTTCGCTCCAGTCTCCCGTCACACCTCTCTGCGCATCCTACTCGCCATCGCGGCCACGAAGAAACTACCACTACGGCAAATCGACGTTGCAAACGCCTTCTTGTACGCACCTGTGGACGCCGAAATCTTCGTCGAACAACCCCACGGATTCATCGACGACCCTTCAAAAGTATGCCAGCTGGAAAAATCCCTTTACGGGATCAAGCAAGCCCCACGGCTCTGGCAGCAGCACCTTCACGGCCGGCTCGTAAAAATCGGATTCCTACAGCTACCACATGACCAAGGCATGTACCGACTACAGAAGGGAAGAGATTACATTCTGCTCATCGTCTACGTCGACGACCTGCTCTACATCGGTTCTACCACCGACATCGTCACCTGGTTCGAAGGGGAGCTGAAAAGGGACCTGACGCTCACGGTGTCCGACGAGGTGACGCAGTACCTAGGACTGAACGTCGTCGAAGACGACACGGCGTTCTACCTACACGCTGGAAAGTACTCAAGCACCGTCGCGAAGAAATTCGGTCTAACACCGACTGCGGTCCCAACTCCCTACCGCTACGGGAACAACAGTAGCGCCTCCACAAAACTCCCCGCGAAACAAATCCAGGAGTATCAACAGAAGCTCGGCTGTCTACTATTCGCAACAGTAACCTGCCGACCCGACCTATCCTATAGTGCGAGCCAGCTGGCGACACATCTGAAGCAGCCGCAACAGGAAGATCTCGAAGAACTCAATCGAGCGCTACTCTACTTCGTCTCCACGCCGACGATCGGGCTCACCTACAGCAAGGCAACAACACCGTCCGTACGACTACTCGGATACGTCGACGCCGACCACGCGGGAGACAGCGAAAATCGACGGTCTAGGACGGGCTACATCTACCGACTAGAACCTATCGGAACTATCTCCTGGCAGTCGAGCAAGCAGGAGTTAATCGCACTATCCTCGGCTGAAGCAGAGTATATCGCCCTTTGTACTGCGACCAAGGAAGGACTCTACCTACGAGAGTTACTCGAAGAAGCGAAGATCGCGACCCTGCCCACCTTCTCACTCCTCTGCGACAACCAATCTGCGATAAAAATCGCGAACAAGGACGGCTTCGCCAACCGAACCAAGCACATCGCCCTGCGGTACTTCTTCGTCAAGGATGAAATCGCGAAGGGGAGACTTCAACTCAGTTACTGCCCGACGACAGAAATGGCCGCAGATTATCTGACGAAGAAATTGGCGAAAGCAAAATTCGACTACTGCATGCTCCTAACCGGGCAAACAAACGTCACCGGATCTGAACACTCCAGCACTCCAGAAACGAAGGGGAGTGTTGGAAATATCTCAAGGACTTGAGCGTTTCTGAAGTGTAACACTGTACTCGAGGAAGATTACAGGGGAGCACGCGAGTCAACGGAGGTTACACGAGGGGGCGGACAAAGAATGCGAAAGGACTCGAAAGGTCGCAACTGGAGGTTGCGACTGACCGTTACAACATCACGGATGGTAACCGAAGCGGCAATCGAGTCGCTGTGCGACTCGATAAACCGTTCCTGTAACTGTATTCTACAACTGCTTCCTTATCTTCTATATATTGCTGTATGCTTGTTTCTTTAATCAATCACTTGTTCTCACATACTAGTACAAGGGTTCAACTGCCTCAACTTCCGCTGCACTACTCCAAGTCTCAAGTCTCTACAGCTGGGACTTAGTCTCTGCAAAAGATCCTAAGGGCTTTTCTCAGCCCAACAAATACTATACCATGGAGTTAATTGCTAATGCATAAACAAGATGACACAAGGAATAGGAGCAGAAAGAAACAGAGTACTTCCTTCCTACCTACCAATGTCTCGGGGGTTAAACTTAGAGTGCATGCCATGTGGCGGATGCCATTTGTCAATCATAACCCCACATAGGCAGAAAGTGCCAGCCACCAAATGATGAGCCATGCTGGCCGATGCCAAGAAATGAGAGGAAAGCAGATGAGTGTTTCGCGGCGAGGTGACACAGAAAGGGAAACATATGGATGGTGAGCGGATCGTAGGCACCGTGCCGTATTCCCCCCCCCCCCCCCCCAGTAGTGGAGGGAGTGAAATAGGGAACAGAGCGGTGAGCCGAACGGAGCGGCGGCAGCACTGCGTGGTGGTGCAGGCAGAGCACGGTGCAGGCGGCGTATGGTGGAAGCTTGGAACTCATGTATCGTATCCAGATCCTTGCCGGGGCTAGGTACATATACTTGAGGGGAGCAGTTGCATCAGGTGGTTGCAGCACATCAGGTGGTCGGAGTGTTGGCATCGTGGTTGAAGAGAAATGAGGGGAAAGAGGCGGCGATGTTGCTGTGCAGGGAGGGAGGGAGTTGAATGGAGGGGGATGAATGGGACGGAGGCAGATGGAGAGGGGGTAATGAATGGAAAGAACAGGGACACATTGAAGGAGGGAGAGAGGGAGATGAAGGGAGGGAGGGAGGAAGAGGGTGGAACGGAGTGGAGAGAAGGTATGCATTTGCAACTACATTTGCACACATGTGCTTTCATGCACACAGAAACGCAGAGACAGCAGACAGACACACTCACAGACGGATTCTGTCAGATTCCGGTCCATGCGCGTGAGGTAGGGCAGGGTCATGTTTTTGGGCAGTCATGTTTTCAGCTACCAGCCTTTTGCTACAGGTACCACTGAACAGTGATGTTGCTCCTCGTCTATGCTGCCATAAACGCGTTTGGCGAATATACGCCAGCGTTTATAAGCTAGCATATATACGCTTAACACTTGGACTCGGGCTTTCATACGCTAGGTATACGCTAGCCCGGGCAGTCTAAAATGTCTACCCGGGCAGGAAAAAAAGAAGCCTACACCGACTTTCTGCGTGACTCCTACCTCCTTACCAAAAAGCCTGAAATATTTGTACACGTAGCGTGTACTATCAGGTTCGTATGTCGTCGACGATGTGGACGCAATAGCCTCGCGCGCCCACATCACTAAAAGCGGTCGACATTATCGTAGTGCGATAACCTAATTAACAACGAGACGGGTAGACTATGAGACGGAGTCGCTAGGAGAATTGCGCTGACTACGCGACGGCATTTCTACTAGGGTAGACGCGAATGACGGGGGAAAGGGAGAGTATAGAGAAGAGGATTTGTAAGTGAAGGTTGGGTTTTCTAGATGTAGGGGAGTTCAGTGCGGTGAAGGGGAGGGAAATTTGTTGGAACCCACTTCGACCTCCCTGGTTGGGTTTCGCGACTGGGCGATTGTGTCGATGAATTCGCCATGTCGAGAAATCGCGTAAAACAAAACTCCCGATTTTTTTGTTGGGCTGCCCCGAATATTTTGCCCGAGCGTATAGCGTATCTGCCTGCGTTTAGCGTCTGCATATATACGCTAGCGTATATACGCTAGACGCTTCCCTAAAAAAGGGTTTATGGCAACATAGCTCCTCGTCATGCCAGGTGGCGCTCACGTGAGGTAGGGCAGGGTCATGTTCTTGAGCAGCGAGGGGTGCTTCTCCACCAGCACCCGCCACTCCTCCTGGTCTATCTTCCCGTCGTGGTTCCTGTCCGCCTCCTCAAACGTCTGCACGCACAGGCAGAAACAACCGCAATGGTAGGGAGAGAGCGCATCAGGAAGCAAAACCCATGCTTCTAAATAGTCGTCACTCCTTCACACCTTCCGCCTCCTCCAACGTTTGAATGCACAGGGCGCAACCAGGGAACAACCACACGGGTGGTAGAGACTAGAGAGCATCAGGAAACATCAATTATGCTGCTGGAAGCCACTCAGTCCCATGGTCCCAAGTTGGAATATACGCGTATCGCATTTTGTACGAGAGCATTTATACACAATACACCAGAATGGACGGGGTCGGAAACGCATGGAATACGGAGGTCTGGGCAGGGGAAAAACTTTTCCGGGCGCACAAAAATTGGGGTAAAGTGGCGGGGAAGGCAGGAAGGGGGGGGGTTAAAATGGGGGTAATTTATGCTTGGGAAGCTGGCTCTGTTTGATGCCGACCCCTCTCAAGGATGAGTTGGGAGGGGTTGAGAAGTGACAGGGTGGTGAGGGGTGGGAATGGGTCCACGGGGGGGTTCGGTGCACTTCGGGTTGGAAATTCAAAACTCAGATTTGAGTTCGCAATGTGCAAAGGCGAATTTTTGGTTCGCAATGTCGCAAAGAGTCAGCAAATTTTGGGTTTTTTTTTTCGGGCAGCTCGAGCGTATTTCGGCGTAGCTACACCAAAAATGCAGCGTTCGTATTTCTTCTGCGTTTAAACGCAATACGCAATCTAAGTTGAGCGCTTTTTCCAACTTAGCCATCATCTTTCCAGTCCGGCCCCGAAAACGTCTGCAAGCAGGTTACGACAGCAGGTAAGAACCGCAAGGCAAGAGCACATGAGAGACAGGAGCAACAGCCCACAGCAGAGAGTCAAACGGGGCAGCCAACTGGGAAGGCTGAAGACTCCTCACTGTTACCTTGCCCCCAAGGGCACCTTGCCCCCAAGAGCACCTTGCCCCCAGGAGCATCTTGCCCCCAAGCCCACCTTGTCGAGGATCTGCTCGAGCATGTCGTCTGAGAGGTTGAAGCTGGACTCCGACAGCAGCGCCTCCAGCATCTGCTTCACCTATACGCACCCATGCACGCGAGGCAGGCGGGGGGGGGGGAGGGGGGGAAGGGGGGACAAAGATGAGGGCCTTAGGAAGCAGGGGAGAAGGTGTGTGAAAGAGGGGGGTTTCCCCAGAGGGGGAACGGGGGAGGAATCCAGGTTGGTTGAATGTCCCCTCCCAGGGCAAAGAAGCAGCAGTGGACTGGGTTGAGGCATGGAAAGCGAGGGCCAGCGCACCGAGAGGTCATGGGTGGGTGGATGAACGGCAGCACGTGATGGTCATGGGCATGGGCAATGTGCATGGGTATGGGCATAAGGCATGTGAATGGGCATGGGCATGGGCATTGGGCATGTGCATCAGCGTGGGCATTGGGCATGTGCATGTGCATGGGCATGGGCATGGGCATGGTCGTGGCATGGCAGGGCGACATACCTCTTCTCTCTCGATGAATCCAGTGCACCGCAGGTCATACAGGCGAAAGGCAACTGGTGCAGGGTGGGCAAGGGAGAGGGGAGAGATCGAGGAGGGTATTGGGTGGCCGAGAATGAGAGCACAGAACGCCTTGGCAACAGAGAAAGATTCCTTCTTCTCCGTACGTGTGCTGCGAGTGCTTGCATGCTGGCAGCACGTGTGTGCCTGCATGCGCATGGTTACATGCGAATAGGCAAGTGAATACCCTGGCAGTTGTGCTTCCCCTGGTGAATTCAATTCCCCAGGCGATTGAAAAAATCCCAGTGATAGAGAGATTTCCCAGGATGTACTTCCTCTGCGACTTACAGGCCACTTTATCGGGTGTGGGGGCGCGGGGATGGAAGACGCTGAGCGAGCGCACAAACTCGCCGAACTCAATCACGCCGTTGCGCTTCACGTCGAATAGATCAAACACCTGCGCACGCATGCACGCACGCACGCACACAGATGCACGTACACATGCGCACGCACACCGCACACGCACACGCACACGCACACAAGCACAAGCACAAGCACAAGCACAAGCACAAGCACAAGCACAAGCACAAGCACAAGCACAAGCACAAGCACAAGCACAAGCACAAGCACAAGCACAAGCACAAGCACAAGCACAGTCACACCCTCTTCTCCGCCCTCCCCCCACACCCCGCCCCCCCACCACACCAGCACACACCAGCACACACCAGCACACACCAGCACACACCAGCACACACCAGCACACACCAGCACACACCAGCACACACCAGCACACACCAGCACACACCAGCACACACCAGCACACACCAGCACACACCAGCACACACCAGCACACACCAGCACACACCAGCACACACCAGCACACACCAGCACACACCGGCACGCACCAGCAAGCAACCACATGGGTGAAAGGACAGTACCCTTTCAAGATGAAATGTGTGATATATCCGCCTGTCCACCACTTCGTGCTGTGCGCAACCCGTTGCTACCCACTACGTTTGCCATAACCAGTTCTTTCCACAGCTTGACCATTCTGCCCTTTGACCCATCCTCCTGACCGCTAACCCTAAAACTCCTACCCTGTCCACCACTAATCTCCCCCACTATCATATCTTCTATTCGCATTGATCTCCTCTCGTTCCCTTCAACCCGTGTGTTGCTGACTGGTCCCTCGTCCGCCACTCACCCTGTCGGCGAACAGGTTCTCCCTCTCGCTGTTGTCAAACAGGGCCAGCTGAAACTCCTCCTGCCGTGAACAGCATACATGCACAGACACACATGCACGGTATAGACGCACGGTATACACGCACATGCACGCATGCACAGCAAGCATGCACAACACACATGCACCCAACGTACATGAATGGTATGCACACGCATGCACGCATGGCCACACATTCACACCGTGGAGAGTGATTGGAAGGGTTTCGCGCGAAGGGTGAGGGGGGAGGATGAGCGGGGGAGGCGAAGGACGACTGGGGGCAGAGGACACCGGGGGAGTGGCCACCAGGGAAAGGCTGCAAGGGAAAGGCTTCGTGACTGGGGGCTTATGTTATAAACGAGGCGTGGATTGAAATGACGTAGCGTGAGGTTACCTTGTGAATGAGGCCGTCGTCGATGAGCGAGCTGCTGATGCGCTTGAACAGCTCGTACAGCGACTCCACCTCGCTCTCGCAAACTGCGCACGCACACGGAGGCCACGTGTCGACACGTTTGGGAACGTGTGGGCACGTGTGAGCACGCGAGCATTCGCAAGCTTACGACTTATTGTGGTGGGGAGGTTCAGAGGGCAACAGGAAATGAAAGCCGAGAGATCGAAGAAGGGGGGAGAGAGGAGGGGCGGGAGAAGGGCGGGGGGAAGTGATGTAGAGGGAGAAAGGGTAGGGGGGAAGGGGGTTGGGGGAGGGGAGGGGGGGGGGGGGGGGGGGGGGGGGTTGAGGTGGGGGAAGGAGGGTTGGGAGCGGAAAGAGGTGAGGGACGAATAAGAGACTAAAACGGCAAAGAAGAGGAGACGGCGACATAAACGCCCGAGACAAAGAAGAGAAGCAAAAGTGGGCGAAGCGAAAGGCGCGGGGCAAAAGGCGTGGAGCGGAGTGGCAGCACGCACACGCGGTTTCCCGAGCGAGCAGGGCGGGGTTCTCGTATCCGGGAGGCGGCTTGGTGGGCACGGACTGGAAACACCCCATTAGCTCGCAGCACCCGGCCAACCACCCCACCGCATGCGGCGCCGTTATTCCCCACGCCCACACCGCTTGCCGTGCTCCGCCGCGCGCCCCTCGACTACCAGCGGCGCTCCTAGCCGGACCTGTGAGTGTACTAGGCGTGAGTGTACTAGGTGTGACTGTGCTTGTGGCAGCGCGGCAGTAGGTGGTGCCGTGGCCGAGGCACCAGCAGGGGAAGCAGTGGCAGCTGCTGCTGCCGGCCTCAGCTGCCACATGCGACCCGCGGAGCGACCGCCTTGCTGCGCCTGGCTTACCCGCCACCGTGCCTCGGAATCAAATCGGATAGGATCGCGCGCACGGAGCGGGCGAGCTGACAGGCGGGTAGGGGGCCTTCGCGGGGGGAGACGACGTGCGCTGCGCGGGGTGAAAACGGGCACTAATCCGCAGCACGACTGCGAAAGAGATGGGAGAAAACTGTGAAGTTTCGACTAAAATCAGCAAGACTCTTTAGCGAGACTCCAGGGTGGTCGATGCCAGCCGCAGTAGGATTAGGTCTTAAAGAAAGGCTTAGACGGCTAAGCAAAAGGTCGCCGCTTGGTGAAGAACACTTTGCAGACAAAAAGAAACGGAGGTCCTATATGTCCGAAAAGTCAGAAGCATACGAGTCCTGCCACCGACATCGAGATGTAAAAGATGTAGGTTTCTACCTATCAGCCTTGAGATGACAGTTCTGTTCTGCGGCAGGTGCTGCTCCGAGGAAGAGGGGAGGGAGGTTTGGTTGAGGCTGCTGCAACCGTACAGTAAGGGCGCGTCCGAAGAGTTCAATTTGGCTCTTTTGAATGGATTCATGCAGACAAAACCTCGAACTGGTGTCGGTACAGTTTATTTCCCAGGAAACCATGTGGTCCAGTTTCGTGGACACTCAAGTGAGTCAAATCCGAAATCGCAACCGCAAAGCCCTTCGCCACGGTGGCCCGAGGGGTGGGGACACCTTCGGGTTCTGCGCATGAGCCATCGCATGAACCAGCAGACTGTTCGATTGTTTGCTTGTGATGGCACTTTTTCTCCTACAGTATTGGGTTTGAGCTTGTAAGCAGGAAAAGGTCAAACCCGGACAACGGGACATTGAAGGGGAAAACCCACAGTAAAAACTGTCACTTGGTTACAAATTCTCGCGCATGCACCAGATAATTTGCCTGCGCGACCTCCCCGATCGGATTCTCGCAATTGTCGAAATACGACTTGACTGTACGCTGTCGTTCAGACTGCAGCCAATCAGGTACAGTGTCGACGCGAGTTATGCTGAGAGCCAGCTAGGTGGGATTGAAATTTAGACTGTTCCGGGTGGATTTAAAAAAAAAAAAAAAAAAAAAAAGGGTGTATTGTACTCTGTCTTAACAAGATTCTGGTTACAAGCCTTTAACGGGGTAACCGAATTGGCGATAAACGCTCCAAACGCGCCCTCCACATGAAAATACCCACAATACGACCCCACAAACCAGTCATCGCATGAGAGTGCCCCGCAACCAAGCATTTCGGACAGATTGAGACGCCGAGGCTGAACCTGTCAAGAAATATCAACCTTGGCAGTGCAGTTGAAGCCCGCCAATCATGGCGAAGCGAGTCCAAGCAGCATACCGAAACGCACCTCCCTGGAAATGTCGTTCTGCCTTGCTGTCATTTGAGCTGGCCAATAAGCTCGCGGTCGGTACGGCGGACAAAATTCTTCGGGCAGTTTAGCAAACCTGGGAATCTGCCCGTTGCAGCCGTCAATTCCCATCAATTACAGTTTTGCTATTTGTACGCGTGTAAGGTTTTCAGATATGATTCTGACTCCTATGGGTGGAAACCCAAGAGTACCACGGAAGTGAATATCTAGATTCGAAATGACATAATTATCAGGCTTATCATATTGTCGGTACAATGAATAACAAGGCTAGACATCGGAACACCGGAGCGAATGTTAACCGCGTGATGTGTTAAATTATATTATATATATAATTATAGGCTTGGTATGTGTTACTGGATCTTACTGTAGAGGGGACATCCCCATTCTTGTATCCCTCTTTCAAATTGTCAACTTATACATATATTGTTATGTAGAAGTTATAGGCTAGATAGGGTACGCTCTTATTGGGTACAACCCAAACGCTATATCTCCACTGTTCTCCCTTCTTCTATTCATTCTTTCTAGTCTTGACATGATATCACGAGTAGGTAGGTCCACCCACCCGCTTCCTCCCCGTGCCGCCACCTACCGGACCCTCGCTCCCCTAGGTGGCCCTGCGCGCCCCTACGGCCCCCTCGCGCCCCTATCAAGGCCCGTAGCACCCCTACGGCCCCATCGCGCCCCTAGCAGGCCCCGTCGCGCCCCTAGCAGGCCCCGTCGCGCCCCTACGGCCCTGTCCCGCCCCTACGGCCCTGTCCCGCCCCTACGGCCCCGTCGCGCCCCTAGCAGGCCCCGTCGCGCCCCTACGGCCCCATCGCACCCCTAGCTAGTCCCGTCGCGCCCCTACAGGCCTCTTGCGCCCCTAGCCGGCCCCGCGCGCCACTACGGCCCCTCGCGCCCCTAGCCGGCCCCTCGCACCCCTAGCCGGCCCCGTCGTGCGCCTACCGGCCCCTCGCGTCCCTAGCCGGCCCCTCGCACCCCTACAGCCCCTCGTGCTCCTACCGCGCCCCCCCCCCCCCCCACGCGTCCCTAGTCGGCCCCACGCGCCCTTTCCGGCCCCGCTCGCCCTAACCGGCCCCTTGTACCCTAGCCGGCCCCTTGAGCCGCCGAGCCGCCGCGTCCCTGAGCCGTCGTGCCGCCGAGCCACCGTGTCCGCGAGCCGCCGAGCACCCGCGCCGCCGAGCCGCCGTGCCGCCGAGCCGCCGTACCGCCGAGTTGCGGAGCCGACGTGCCGCCGCGCCGCCAAGTTGCTGCGCCGCTGAGCAGTTGTGCCGCAGTCACACTGTGCGATAGCGGACGCCGTTCACTACTTGGACGCTGAGGGGCACGCGATCGACTTCGTCACCTGGCTCGTCGACCTCCGCCGGCACTTGACAGGTCAGCGCCAAGATGGGCACTCCCTGGCTATGCATGTTGATGGTTTGCTTCCCCGCCCCCTTGCGCCTGATCCCCTCCTTGCTGACCCTACCAATGCTGAGAGCGAGGCTTTTGCTTCTGCTGCGCTTGCTCGAGCTGTCTGGGATTCTCGCGACGCAGTAGCCCATCTTGCCATTAGCCATGCCCTCCCCCTGTCTGAGCGTCCGCGCTTTACCGCTGTCGCGAACGCCAATAACTTTCTCGCTGCAGTAGTTGAGCGTTACTCCACACCTGCTTCTGCATCTGCTGGCCGCTTGATCCTACCCATGCTCTTCCCTGATCTTTCTGCTTTCCCCACGGTAGCTGACCTCGCTACTCACCTCCGTGCACTAGATACCAGCTACCGCGCAGCTAGCTCTGCCGCCCAGCTTACTGCCTTCCCCCCACCTTTCTGCGCTACCCTGTACCTCATCGCCATGCGCCTGCCTGACCGCTTAGCCACTGCCTGCGACCACTACCTTAGTCAGCACCCTGCTGACCTCACCCTGACCGCCTTTGTCACTACTCTGTCTGAGATAGAGACTCACCAGCGCACTATCGCTCAGTCGAGCGGTGTTGCGGCAGTCCCTATCTTTCAGGGTTGTGCCCCCTCCCAGTGCACGTACGCTGACGTTTCTGCCGCAGTTGCCACGACTGCGGCTGCACCTAAGACAGCAGCTGCGGCTTACCCGCAGCAGCGCCAGCGCCGGAGCCGCCGTGGCCCGAAGGGAGGACGTGGATGTGGCGCTAGAGGTGGTGCTGGCGGGAACAGTGGTTCTGACGAGGGGGTTGGTGCTGGTGCCCAGGAGCAGCAGCAGTTGCAGCCGCCACAGTCGCAGCCGCCGCAGCAGCAGCAGCCATCACAGCAGCAACAGCAGCAGTAGCAGCAGCCATAGCAGCAGCAGCAGCAGCAGCCATGGGCTCGTCTCCCGCCCGGGTGGCCAGGAGCCCTTCGCGATGGTGGTCGTGGTGGTGGCCCTCGCTACTCGACGTCCACCGGCAGCTTCGATGCTGAGATCTGCCAGTACCAGCTTCAGACCGGGCCCCTGCGTGGCACGGTGTGCTGCCGCTCGCACCCCACCTGTCACAGGATCGAATGAGGTTTGCTCAATATTGCACTATCAATCAGTACAAGGTGCTTTTATACTACCATAGTACATCAGGTGACCAGGTTTATCCTCTCCAAAGAGAATAGACCCTTCTAGAAATAGAATCACCTTGCGTATAGCCATGCAAGGCTATTGGCTTTAAGGGATTACGGCATGATTACGCTAGATATAGCGCGCCAGTACATCCCGAGCCTGGTCGGTAATATAATCATAATAATAGGATAAACCGAAGGATAATGGAAAAGGAGGAATAGGAAACCAAATGAGATGAGATAAAGACCAAATGAATCAGGATAAAAAGAGGAATGAAATAGAAATGAAATATGGAAAGGGGAAATTGGTGTAATGGGGTCGTACTCTCACACTTCCCCCCCTCAAAGCTGGGTGGTAGAAGTAACACCCTGCTTGACAAGGTAGTCGTGAAGAGGACGACGGGCGTTAACCGTGTCGAGTTCAGATACACAGCCTCAGAAGGATCAGAACCCTTCCAGCAAAGAAGAAGCTCCAGAGTGCCATTTTGAAGACGACGGTGTCTGAGCACATAATTGTCCCATGGCGTGGACGAACACGGGCGGCGACGGTGGTTGGCATTCGGTGTAGAGCGTGTTTGGTCTTGATAGGATTTCAGAAGCTGGTATGGAAGGCGTTATGGATCTTCCAAGTGGCTGGTAGGCGGAAGCGAAAGGTGATTGAAGTGACCTTTGCTTCGACGAGGATTAGACCCACAGAAGCAAAGTTGAAGCTTGGATGTGAGATGGTTGATATCAAAATTGCGCGTGTCGAGCAATACTCGGTTTCCCACAATGATGGTGTGGTCTGTGCGGTGGCAATCGGCCTGGCGCTTTTGTTGTTGCTGAATGTCGAGAAGGCGCTTGTGGGTGCAATCCTAAAGTTTGTGCATGGCCATAATGAAATCATGAGCAGGTTGGACTGTGGCTGGTATGGTTGGCTGTTGTGGTGTGATCGGGTGGCATCCATAACAGAGGAAGAACGGCGTCTGTCCAGTAGCGGCGTGAGTAGCATTGTTGAAGGCAAACTCCAGGACGGGCAGATGCAAGTCCCACTTGGAGATTTCGTCCTTGCAGGCTGCGCGGAGTAGTTGCTCTACAATTTGGTTAAGACGCTCAGTCTGGCCGTCTGTCTGCGGATGGTATGCGGATGACATGGCAATGAAATTGTAAGAAAGTTGGACTGTAGCAAGAACTGTCTATTGCTATGGAATAAGCAAGCTCCGTCCACAGTAAAGGAAGGATGGTGTGTATCGCCGTCAGTGATATATGGGCAGGTGCAAGTTGGAGTTGGAGATGTGAATTGTTGGAACAGTGTGCTGTAACGTGCAGATGAATGGCTATGTTATCCAATCTGTGCATGATGTTACCCGCATCTGGTCCACGTGTGAAGACCACGAAGTGTTGGTGGTATGGCAGTCGTGCCATAGTATTGCTTCTGTAGCAGTCTTGTATCCGATACATGCAGATTCTGTCGAATGCTGGTCCATGCCGTAGTGTTGTCGCA